ATATGGCTAAGCAAATATAAGATTTAATTAATATTAAAGTTCGAATAAAGTAGCGAATGCCTTAAATACTGTCAAAACTCATGTAGGTATCCATTTAAACAAAGATAAGTTCGAAAATGAAGTCAGAAACTTTTTTATTTTTTTGACATTTTAAATTGTGACAACATAGGAAAACTATTTTAACTGACACTCATTAGTAATCTGTGTTTTAACAACAGATACAATCCTTTTTCCGTACTTTGCTAAGAAACATCTAAACGAAGGAAAAGTTCTTATTAACATTGATTATAAAACTAATAGTATCACGTCCGTGCCCATGTGATTCGAATACCAATTTCTGTCTCTAATTAGGTAAGTTTGTGATCTCTTGTAAGAGTATAAATCCCGAATCACGTCACCTAATGCCTCTTAGCCGCATCGACTCTTGAAGAGTGTCTTAAGACATAAGTTTTTAAGAACTTTACTGATCTTCGTTAGGCATTAATGTGTCTCCGATGTAAGAAGATTTGCTAATGGACGGGAAGTTCGTGTAAATAAGTAAGTGTATTGAGACCCAGTAATTACAGAGTTTGATTTAACTTGATGGCATTGTATTTAATTTTTAAATACCTGGAACGCTTCAGACATGCGTGACGAATTTCCATCGCGCATAAAAATCATTTAGGGTTTCTTAGGCAATAGTTTCTAATAAAAATATTACGAAAGTTACTAGAAATTCAGGCAAGTTAGTTTTGCGTTGTACGGAAGAATACTGAGAATCATGGGACGTCCGCCCACAAGATGGACTGATTATGAGTTCATAAAAGTTGCAGAAAGGCGCTTGGTGCAGAACTCTACCAACCGGCCAATCTGAAAATCATTGGAGGAGGCCTGTGTTCAGCGGTGGACGTCTTGTAGCTGAAATGATGATGATGATGATGATGATGATGATGATGATGATGATGATGATGATGATGATGATGATGATGATGATGAAGTATTTTCTATATCTTTGTGTTATTATCAGTTATTATTGTCACATGAATAAGTACGTTAAAAGGAAAGCAAAATATTAAATAAGGAAATGTTAATCACCAAGCCATAGTTCCTTAATAACTAATTCCATAAATTACGTTTGATCCCTCCACGTGCAAAGATCAAGGGATCGTTTTAGTTGTACCCAAGATTACAATCTTGACAAATTAATTACACAGTTAGTTTCGGCTGTGGTCTCAGATGAACCAGCAGGTAATTGCTAATCTCAATTAGATCGATTAAACACTATTTTGGACAAATTATCGTATCCAATTAGTAGCCGTTTTAGAAACTAAGTGTTTCCATCAAAGCGGAGAGAACAGTATATGTGTTTGAATAACCAATCAGATTAACGCCCGTATTCACAAACGATGCTTGCTTCAATGAAGCAGCAAATCGAACGCACATCGTTGAATAGAGCTCTGTGATTGGTTCGTGTGTCACCCTGTGCGTCCACGCGCACTGTGAGACCTCATACTTAGTAATGTTTGTGAGTACGGGCGTGACTTATTTCCACTATAACACTCAGCTTTGATGTAAATGTAACACTAAAATTAGTTTCTTGAAAGTAGTCTTGAAAATAAGTTAGCTTCTTTCACATAGGAGTTCCTGGGTTTGATTCTCTACTATTTAAAAAAACCTGTGAAGTCTCTAGCACCAAGCTCAATAATAAACGGTTATAAATTACCGCAATGCAGCGCGATTTAGAACTCTTACAAAAGATAGATTACCGCATTCGTGACAGAACCGATTAATTGTTTTTTGTACCCTATACTTAAGGATTTAAAAGAAAACGATTAGTTATTTTGTTTGCTTTAAGGAATGACGACGGCTCATCGAGATAAAGCTGTATCTTCTGAACATTTTGCAATGAACTGTCCAGTATTATAGGATAAAGATATCCAGAAACTATACTCTGTAATAATGTTGTCAATGTTACTGTGACTCCTACCATCATCATCATCATTTCAGCCACGTCACTGCTGAACGTAGGGCTCCCCCAACGAGTTTTACATCGCACGGTTGATAGCGGCCTGCATCCAACGCCTTCCTTCTACCTTTATCAGATCCTCACATCCTACCATCAGTAATGTATAAATACAAATAGCCTTTTTGCACTATATAACCGTCGTTCTTTCATTCCAACCATCACACTATCATTATTACTAATGTTAGTGTCTGGCACGCTTAAAATTAAATAGGCACATGACGAAAACCTCGTGAGAACTTTGACATTATTAATTAACAACTAAAACAACTAAAACAATAGCCACTTCCATTTTGAATTTTCTTTTCCCCCTTTTTCACCATTCCACGTTTCCATATCTCTATCATAGAGCACATAGAAATAATTCCTACTTCAAACAACCCTACCACGTATTAATTATTTTGTTTTTTATTTTTGTCTTCTACTCGTCTGAGTCACGTTGTATCGATTGTCGACAACCACTCGTAACGGAACAATCGATACCTATCAACTATTAACGAACTAATAAAACATAGGTACGCCCAATAATGCTCGGAAAAAACTCCGAAGCCTCGCACTAAATTACTCGAGTAAATAGCTGACCGAAGTAAGTCCGTGTATTTACTTTGAGAGAGCTATGCTTTTATTATAAACGTTCTATAAAAAAGTTTTTCATTTCTTTTAAATTTCAAATATTTGAATAAATTCTTCAAAATGTAATTTTAATTTTCAAAGCTACGTGAAATTCTGGAAAAAAAATATGGATTTTGTACTGTTGTATCTAATGCAAATAATGCAATATGCATGTTCATAAACACTTCTACTTATTATGCCATTTTCCCCCATCAATATTATGGTAAACACACATTTGAAAAGAAAAGTACAACTCCCAAATACCTAACTTTTCTTTCGCGCCAAGCCAAAGAAGTTGAGCCGAAAAAAGCTATCGCACGGCCTTTTATGAAACGGGGATTTTATTGTCATCTTATGTCGTTGAAAGTGTTTTTGTTATTTCTGTTTTGCAAAGCTTAATTTAAGGAAGTAGGTTATTTATACGTGTAAATATCACTTAGGCAGAAATACAAAATTATCATTCTGAACACACCGTCTTATTGCAGAAAAGAATAATTTGTTAAAATATACTCTACCTACTGTTATCTCTAAGGACGCTTTTGTCACAAAGTCACCGGTAACCTCAATAAGTCAATATTAGAGCTCTTACAAACTCTACCAGTGTGCGGTGGCCCTTAAAACATTATCACTGACCTTTGAATACTTCATAACACTAGCCTAATAACACTTCCTGTTTCAATAACGAACCTTTGGTAAAACACACAGTAAACGTCACGTGTATCAAGGATCCTGAAAATAGTTACCTCCGGGGTTACTCCGAAAAACGTTTTCCGAAGTTTCAAATGTTGCCATCTCTCTTACGCAAAGTGGCATGCCAATATTAGGGACAGTGAGAGATAGACCCGAAACTACGAAAACGGCGTTTCGGAATAGCCCTGCTGTGGTTATAGGTTACACGTAACGTACAGTTTTCAATGAACAAACGAAGCTTAAACTTGATTCAATTGGTTGGCTTTTGATTAGTTGAATAATCAATATGTCAGACGAAATAGTTATTGGGCCAGAGATTGAATCGACTTGAGACTTGTTTTGAAATACATTTTAGGTAGACCAATTATGTGCTATATCTCACTAGATATTACCTACTGTTTTAAAGATTTTTCAATCATAAAAACTAATGAATAATAACCATTTTCCAATAGATAAAAACATAAGTATGAATGAAACGAAACATTTTACTTTAATTTTTATTTCATCGTGATAGTAAATAGACGTAAGGATGTAAATAATTGTACAATATACTTAATAGATTTATATAATTTACATTTAATATTATGAGCATTTATAATAATTATCGTGTTCTTCTCATTAGATATGTACACCTCTAATTATTAAAATTTCTACACGTAATAGTATCATGTAAAAGCTATTTTATTATTATTTAAAATACAAAACTTGTGTTAGTGTAATATTTGGAAATGCTAAATTATTTCGTCTATACTTTTAAAACAAAGCTTGATAGTCGATTTTTTCTGATGAAAATTTTCACACCACTAGCTGTTTTAAACTTTGAAAGAAAGAAATTATGCAACAATAAAACATTGGCACAAGACAGCTTCAAGTATGAGGAAACAGACTGAACTACTTATTTAATATAATTCTATATAGCTTGAATCTTTAATTTTATATTAGGTACTACTATAAATATAAATAATAATGCATTTACAATCTACATATAGGACTGTAAATTGTCATTGCTTTGTTCAAACAGTTTTTTTTGAAATATTAAAAAAAAACAGCTTGCATTTGAGTAAGCAATGGCTCAGTAGCTTCTAGCTTAATTGTGACAGCAGTTGCCCAGCTAGCGAAATTTTGTTCGAGGAAGCAATTAATTTTCAATTTATTTTTCATTGCGTTAATTAATTTCCTAGTGATCTGTCTTAAAGATATTATATGAAACTAATTGCAACAAAAAATTTATAGTATTATGTACTTGATTGTACAATAAACTCATCTGCACATCAAACCTAGCATGTCGACCTCAAAAGTGGTCCTTATCAAAAGAAACATAAGAGTGACTTACGCAGTGCAATTGTTAGTTTTGATGCACCATCAAGTAGAACATTTTCTAAGGTTTTTTGCCACTAAATGTCTTTGAATTTAAGTAGGTACTGTACAACATAACTTCGATCATCACCATTATGTTACAACAAGTGTAATTTATAAGATACATTATTTAGAATTTTCATTAATTAATAATAAACCTTACACAGTGTAATAATTCGATAATATTTACAATGGCTGATTATATTAATTATCAGCAGAAAAATTATGTTATTTATAATTTTNTTATTTTTTAGGCTTTTACGTGTCTTTTAATATAACACAATACACACACACACCAAATCATAATTTCTAAAAAGATTGTGACACTTATTATGTTACATTTTCAGTCACCAGTGATTAAATTGTACTAAACCACTTCTTACAACTTTGAAAATACAAGTAAAGACATTAACTAGGACCTTTCGCCTATGCAGAATGATGTTCTGACGAAGAAATTTGAAAGAAAGAGTTCTCTACTTCTGTCTTTGTTCTCTTCTGTCACTGTCACAGTTCTGTGTGCCTACCATGAGTTTACGTTATGTGAGCTCGCTAGCGAATACGTCTAAAAATTATATGAAGATTTTATTTCTTCAAAGTAGCCGCTAGGGGCGCTGCACAATATGTCATACATTTAAATGTCATTTTTTTACGCAGTCGCTAGCAAGCACTCCTAACGTAAACTCATGGTAGGCACACAGGTCGTCAGAACGTACTAATGACGCGGATCGAGTGCTGTAAGTAAATGTCTGAAATTATTAAACTTTATTTTTATATCTTTGGTGTTGAGGTTTTTTGAACTTTTCAATTGTATGCCAGAGTTTAATACAATTTAATCTTTAGTACCGCAAGTGGATGTGGGAATCGTTCTAATCTATGTGCCACATTCATCTAAACCGTTGAAGGATACATCTATAAATAGTGGAGGGAATTAATAGTCTTAGCTTTGAAATAAGTATTGTATATTCCAATATATAAATATACACATATTAGTTTGGAAATACTTCTTTACTTGGATTTAAGGCCTACATTGACATGTCCTGTCCTTCTGGTCCCCAAGCACCAGTTAAGATGAAGTTGAAAGAAAATTTGATACTACTAGACTTTCCTAATACTAAATTTTAGTGTCATTACAAAAATACTCGATAATACAGTATCTACAAGCTTTTGGATAATTGACATTTTAAACAGCTAATGAATAAGACAACGCAAAAATTCTCAAAATAACATTAAAGTTTCTACTTGTAGTCAAGCCACGGAAATATTTCCATGAAAGATAAAAGTAGACTTATTAATTTTAAGTCCTTACTCATATCAAAGATATTTCAAAATCGTTTATAATTAGTCTGACATTATGTTGTTTAATCTTCCCAAATACAAATTCATTCATTGATTCGATATTATTACATTCCATTCAACCATCGTTATATGGGACAGTCAAAATACATCACACAAGATATAAACAAAAGAACGAAGCTCCTACTCGTGTTAAAATTAAAAACCTATAAACTACACAAAAATATTCCACAATTAATAAATTCAAAAAAATCCCACAAACTCCGCCGTTTTAAAACAATTCATTTTACTGTTACTTACAGTCTAATACGCCATGTGCATACATACATTTATCATTGGACCAAAATTCAACCTTCAAATCGTTCATAGATCTATTACTACAATCCTTAATGGATAACACAATTTATTTCACGTTTTAAACTTATCTCACATCAAACGAAATAATAATGGTACTGTCAAGAAAAGTTATATTCAAATCCTAGAAAAGAAGACAAACTAAAAATGATAATATTTAAGATAATTTTGATTAACTTTTGTTTCAATGAAGATATTTTTTACAAATTATTAGAAAAATAAGATAAGACAAAAGATTAACAAGATAGTTCACAATCTTATGATTTTAATGTAGTTCAAAAGATTAATCGTGAAATAAGTCGTGTTATTGACAGGACACTAAATACACTTACTGATGAGTCAAAATGTGATTACATTAGGCTAGGCAATATAAAAGTACATAAATTTATTATGTTTAGTACACGCACATAATATGAAACTAAGTAACACACTGCAAATTAGCAAATTCTGTACAAAGCTATAACTTTACAGTTTAATTAATTAGATTGTTTTATGAATACGCTCCTCACGCTTACTTAACCATTATAAAGAGTGGCACTGTTAATATTATTAACAATATCGATAAAGTTATTGTGCAATCCTTACATGCTAGAATTGTGAGTATTAAAAATCTAATCGCTGATAATGTAAGATTAATTTAGACACTCATAAAAGACACAGGAGATACAAAATCACTAATACTAGAGGTCGATAAAGAAACACACTGCTAATTACAACTATGGTCCCGCATCAAGGATACATAGCAAGAATTTCAGTTGAAAGTCTCGAAATTCGTTGTAACTCCAGAATTCACACAAACCACACTTTAGACATACGTATCACAAGAAGTAAACCTAGATCAATAGTTCAAGTTCAAAAGTCATCAGATTTCGGACTTTGTGCGGGGCTGGGCCAAGGCGGCCGCATTTTTTCCAGCACATATTTGAGCTGGAAACTGGTATGGAAATGCTACAGATACTCGTCTATCTGATCATAGTCCTCGTCTGGGGGGGAGGGGCCTGACACTGAGAGGATGGGTAGACCGAAGTGCTTGACGGTCTCTACGCTACTGCTGTCGTCTGACTTGCTAGTGGCTTCTTCATTGATGGTCTCCTCTCGAGGTTTGGCTTTGCAAAGGCGTTCAGATGAATCGCACAAAGATGTAAGAGGTATGTTGTCTGCTGACCTGTAAAACAAATAGCAAAGCTCAAACGTCATAAGCAGAACTATCTTATAGACATGAACTGGCATGCGCAGTGCCAAAAGCAAGGGCGTTTGCGGAAGACCAGTTTCTTGATATAATCATAAGGTTATAACTGCTGAGCGGGAGCCTATTGATACAGAGGCTCAGTAATTGTTTGTTTTACATGTAGGAACTTACTGTGTCAATAAAGTTTTTCTATTCTATTTTACCTGGCCTTACGACACAGTTTAGACTGTGAGCCGTGCCTCCTCAGGAACTCCCCAGCATCAAACGCTGCGAACCCAGTGGGTTCTGCTGACACGAATATGGCCGAGTTGACCCTAGGCCTGTTGCACCGGGCCAAGAGGCGCTCCTCGCACTCCAAGCTCTGTGTATGTGTGTGTGACCAGCGCATGTGCTGTAGGAAGAGAAAAAAGAAGTCATTAGACATTTTTCACTGAATAAATACGTTCGACGTCCGTCATTTTCGTTTCACCAAGTATTCAAAGCAATTTTTCCCAACCAGTGCTGATGCATGGATTCGAGTGCCATGTATTGTGGCTTTGTAAAATCGCAAAGTGTTCTCCATGATAAGGAACTGTGCTATAAAAGTGTTTAAATCCATCATAATTCTGAAAATGTTTAAACAATAATAAGTATACATAAATCGTATATATATAATTATACAATGATAGGGCCAGTAATATGCGGAGATGACATTGCAAAAACTTGTGGAAATTGTTATTTTATTAATCCTACTTTCATTCCACAAGCTAATGGTTGTGCTTATTGTCTTAGTTAGGTTGGAAAAATTCTTGCGCTATACTTTTGACATAAATTCAGGTTTTCTAAATTAAACTCTAATCTTTATATTCCTTGCTTACATGATAAAGTATATTGCTATCTTTAAACTTATATTCTTCTTAGAACTAACTTAAGCTGAGATAATAATTTGTTATCGCGCAACACTTGAGTTAAAACATTTTGTTCGTTCCAACTGAGTTATGTGTTTGACCTCTAGTTAGATAGTAGCGTTTGTGCACTGAAAAATAAATAAACATTTTAAAATCTAGCTTTCTCTAGCATTCTTAGCTGTAAGGTTAATGGATTAAAAGAAAAATTACACGAATGAATCTAATTTGAACATTAACTATAAAATTACTTTTATTTTATTTTATTCAAAGCCAAAAAATATTCAAATAAGATTATAATCATGTTCAAAGTTAAATAACCAATCTCAAAATGATTTATAAAACATTTCATAAAGTATAACCAACGCACCGAAACCTAAAAGGCAGTTTCACTGAGGTATAATGAAATTACAAAGCCCGTTGTGAAGTGAGCCTGAACAGCTAATCCAGTTGTAAGCCATACTGTGCCCTAAATAATCTCCAAACGTTCACGACAACAATGTTTTCGTACATTTGGGCGTAAACCAACCATTTTAAGGTAGTCATCAAGAGCAGTGTTCAAGGTACACGAAAAACTAGTACTAGGAAAACGAAATTTATTAAAAGGTCAATATTTTTTTGAGAAATTACCCTTTCTTACTAAAAATATACTTATTTATAAGATAATCTTATTTTCCGTAGTGTAGTAGGTTGTAGTAGGTAGTGTCGCAGTACACCGTTTGCGGAACACTGATCAAGAGCATTCACGCGTGTTTTGAGAGTAATGGTTGCTTTGACATAAGCTTAGCTTTATTACATGGCTAAACTTAGACCTAAATTACTGTCCTCTCATATATTCGTTTTCATATTTTTACTGTTCTAAAAATATAATACAACAATTAGGTAATTGAACCAATACCGTGGATGTTGTAAAAAGGAACTAAGAGTCAAATTCAATCAATCATCCTAGACTGTATCACACTTAACACCAGGTGCGATTGTGGTCAAATACCTGCCTTGTCATGCACAAAGAAATGGCTTTCCTAACCCAACTGATTAGCGAGTGAAGTGTAGGCCTAAAACTTCTAAAACTGCGTCTAATCTGGTCAATTAAAGAGGGTCTTGCTCCAGCATTAGAAATTCACCCTATGGATATAAAAACTTCTACTAAGGAATCGTTATAGTCCATAGGTACACATAATTTGGGAAATAACAAACTGTTCTCTTTGTACTGTCTACAAGTCAACTTCGAAATAAAATTACCCACTTCCCACTTAGATTAACTTTTGCACAAGGGAAAAGACAAGGGAGACTCCAGCCCGCATGGTTTAAAAACTTCGATGTCCTTTTAGATTTCATATTGTTATCCAACACTTTGTTTTTGAAGCTCTGAAATGATATTATTTGCAATATTTTTGTTTTATTTCGAGGTGTCTTTGACATTGTGAGAATTTTCATCTGCTCATACTTATTGGAAAGGAGAAAGGATTTGAATTGATATTGATTAATTAATTATTTGATAAGCTTAATGGTATAGTATTTCACGAGGACAGAGGTTTACCCTATTTGAATGCTAAAACGGACAGCTTTATTTAGGTCCCACAATCCTGAACTAAAAATATATTTAGAATAAATTATGAAGCAAAGTAACATACATTATGTTTGAAATTTTTTTTTTTAATTTAAAACATAATTATTATTTACAAATCGAACGCACAGCCTTGAATAGCAGCTCTGTGATTGGTTCGTGTCACCTTGTGCGTCCACGCGCACTGTGAGACCTCATAGTTAATGTTTGTGAATACGGGCGTAAAATTGTATTACTTTCTGGAGTAGGCCACATCTTATCAAACTATTATAAGTGCTGCCCAAAGTTTTGTTTTGGTAATATTCGCGTGTTACGTTGTTGTCATTAGTACAGTCATGCAATGTTTGTGACATTTACTTTTCCCAATTCACTGTCTAATTAACCTTATCACATCCACCCAAGGTTCACAATCGCACGTCGAGATAAATATTTGAAGATGGTCCCACTATGTGAGCACTGTCATAGTGGCACGCGATCCTCTACTTAAGTACGGGAAGGGAGACTTCCCTGAAGGTTTCGGGTGAAAATAATAACTGTCCCATACAGTGACACTATAATTTATAATAATATGACAGTGATTGAATGGGATGCCGTAATTATCTTTGTAATAGTATTATTGTTACATGGATATCTACAGTAAATAAAAATATCGAGAAGTATTTCATGTCATTAAAATATGTTTAGTAAAATTATACATTATTAAGTACTACGTTTTGTTTCTGATACATAAAAACAATATAAACATCAGTAAGACCTACTGTACATAGCTGAAATCTATTATTGATGATTTAATATCAAATTAAGACGTTAGATGGGGCAACGGTTGAAACTTACAGTATAATTGTCATTAATTGTACATTTTTTTGTTGTTTCGCGAGTATCAAAAGCTATGGAAAAGTTATTTTAAGCAAACTCTAAAAATAATATAGATCATAGCTCATTAATTATGTTTGCCTCATTCAGTGAACTCCAAAGCCTAGAATTCCATAATTCTATTCGACCATTCAGCCTAACCTAGTGTTAAGTACTAGCCTAGGCCAAATAAAGTGCAAGTCACGGTGGCTAAAGCCGCCGAGTCATGATCATCGATATGATCAGTTAATAAAAAAACAACCTTATTTGTTATTGCCTGAAATTCAATATCGAATCAGGCTTACTCAACTCTGTGACATTTAGTGCTTTTTTCTCGTGATGCTGATTTCAGCACGCGCGCGGATCTGATCCGCATGCGAGCTGCCCGCATTTCATTATTTCATACTTGTCACTGACTCGTATTACAACACTAGACAGGCTATGTCCTTAAATGACGGCTAATTTTGTGTACCAATGTGAAGCGCCACTGCGATTATCCCGAGAACTAATTTTGACGTACATTGTATGGAGTAACCATAGAAGTAAGCGAGAAAGAACATCACTAATTTTGGTCAATCGTATCTGCCTACAGTATGGCCTACAGCGCCAAAATGGCGAAACTCTAATAGGCACTAAAATATTATGACAGCAGCCAGTCCAGTATGTAATAATATAGAGGGCCTAGTGTGAGTTTACATCAAACGCGCTCAATAGTGAGTACGTCAAAAAATTGCATTAAATGTATGACAGATTTTACAGCGCCCCTGGCGGGAAACGTTCAAAAACTAAAATGTTCATACATTTTCTTTTATGTAAACTCACACTCAGCCCACAGGTCAGTGATACTTGTACACGCACGCAACCAGCAGCGTGATTATTCATCATCACCATCATCATTTCAGCCATAGGACGTCCACTGCTGAACATAGGCCTCCCCTATTGCTTTCCACGTTGATCGATTGGTAGCGGCCTGCGTCCAGCGCTTCCTTGCTACCTTTACGATGTCGTCGGTCCACCTTGTAGGTAGACATCCCACGCTGATTATTAAAGAGACAAGATCCGCACGAGTGCCTAAATCCGCATCACAGGAAAAAGGCACTTATAGCTAAACCAACAAGAAAGCTTCGAGTTGCCTTTTTAGAAGTTGTCCAGACACAAAAATGCTTTCAACTTTGAACTACATACCGTTTCCCTTGAAACATGGTGTTTAAAAGTTTTACCGTCGCGTGTATTAGTACAATGTGGAGCAAGGCTCGCTGTACATTATTAAACGAAGCCTACCGTTTCATGTTTACAAGGCGGTGTGGCGTAAAGGATGTCCTAGTGTGGGCGTTTTTTGCTGACGCGCTACCGGTTTAGAAAGTTACACACGTATTCACAAACATTACGATGAGGTTTCACAGTGCGCTTGGACGCACAATGTTCCAAAAACCAATTCATAGACAATACTTAGCCTGGGTTGCACCATCTTACTTTAACCTTGACAAACGTCAGAAATCTGTCAAACTTCATACAAAAAACACCGGTTATTGTCATAGTTACCGTTAAAGTTAGCTGGTGCAACTCGGCCTTAGTGGTGGAGTGACACACACGAACCAATCGCAGAGCTCTATTCAACGCTGTGCGTTTGACGTCGCATAGCGTTGCTGCTCCACATAGGCAAGCATCGTTTTTGAATACGGGTGTTAGTGGACAGCAGACAGTACCTAGTGGTACCTAGTCATACGCTGCAGCTTCAACAGGTATATTATTAAACTTTATTGCGCAAGTAAAAAGGTTCACAATGATACTTCGAAAGAAATAGATGGCCATCGCTATGCCATAGTCGGCATTGTCGTGTAGAAAATCAAAAACATATTTTAAAGACTTTTTAGGTTTTTATTGTGGTTTTTAATCAGGAAAACGAACTGGCTGACATAAAAAGGCAAAGGATGAAGGAATAGGTACGTTTTAGAGTAGGCGCACACCGTTGATTTTTAGTTGGCCGATAGTTGTGCCCGATTTAAATTTGTATGAAGAATCGGCGTATTACATGCCCATACTGATCAACTGCCCGACTAAACTATCGGCCGACGAAAAATCAACGGT